TTTCATCAGCATGAGACCATTTCTACACCCTTAAGTAACAGTCTCATTTGAGAAGTGACTCTCAGACAGCAGCTGGGGAGTTTCTGTTCCCCATCGCAGAGACGCCACTTGGGAGGGGAGTCGCGGTTTCTTTCCAGCTGCCTTTCCAGGGAAAGGCTGAGAGAGCTGGGACTCTTCAGCCTGGAGAAGAGCAGACTGAGAGGGGATCTTACCAGAGTCTGTAAATACCTGAAGTGTGGGGGCCAAATGGATGGGGCCAGGCTCTTTTCAGTAGTACCCTGTGACAGGACAAGGGCAATGGGCAAAAGCTGGAACACCAGACAAACCTAAGGAAAAACTTCTTTCCTGTGAGGGTGATGGAGCCCTGGAACAGGCTGCCCAGAGAGGGTGTGGAGTCTCCATCTCTGGAGATGTTCAAAACCCACCTGGACACTTTCCTGTGCAACCTGGTGTAGGGAACCTGCTTTGGCAGCAGGGTTGGACTGGATGATCTCCTGAGGTCCCCTCCAGCCCCCACCATTCTGTGATTCTGTGATATGTCTGGACATCTTTTTAATCACTGAGGTCAGCAGCAGAGACATACAAAACACACTGGGAATGGATTTAATGCCTCATCTACACTGGTTTTGTAATGCTTTAATTCTAATAGATTAAAGACTATGGCAACATCGCTCCTTCCAGAGCTTCTCTGGCCACATCCATGGCACGAGACAGCAGGTTGGCTTCTAATGGGTCTGGTCACACCAGCACAAGCTCTGTGAAAAGCACTGATGTCAAAACACTTGTGATCTTTCATTCTGGTAACCAAAGTGCTGTTGGTAAGACAGGTGGGTGCATGCCTGATGAAGTATTTTTTGACCTGTTAGTCCTCCATCACCCTTTCGCAGCAGCGTGCTGTCAGGGAGAGGGTGTGGGATTGCTCTTACATCCTCCTCTGAGTAAGGCACAGAGTAAACAGCGGAGCATTTCCCTGAAGGAGCTGCTTCCTTGGCATTTGTACCTGCAGCTTAGTCACAGTCCATCAGGAAACCTGGACTTCGATGTTCCACTCGAAAGTAAAATTTAACTGGCAAATGCTACACTTAAATACAACCAAATTATTTTTAGTACTTGCCTCCCCTTGACAGCTAACCAGACCCCCCAAAGGCAGTTGTTTTCACCCCATCTTTTGGTCATGAGTTTGAAGCTATATTCTGCTCTAAGGCAGATCAAGCAGGCACTTCATCAGGAGCACAGCACAGCCCTGCTTCTCTTAAGTCGTGTCCCAACATACCCATCAACGCCGCCCCTTGCCTTGCCTGCCCTGCAAGGGTTCCCCTCTAGAGCAAGAAAGGATCCTCTTCCCTGCTGCACCTTGTGTTTGCCCCAGACACCATGCCACTCCCAGGGACCCACCCCTCTGTCTTGCCCCGTTTATTTTCATACTTAAAGAGGCAGTCGGATTGGAAATAGACACATTCAAAAATATTCTTCAAGTATAACAATCACTTCTAACTTGGCTTCTCACTCAGAAAACAAAAGGATATTCATCAATGGACTAGAATATCCAAATTATTTAGATTTTTTTCTTTAAAGCTTCTGTTGATGTCTCAGTTATCGTGCGTTAGCCCAGTTTTGCAGAGATGTCTGATCCCCCCCATAACTCCCATAGGGAAGGAGAGGACAGAGAGAGCTGCCTTGGGAACAACAGCAATCATTCAGACCCAGAGGTATTTGTGTTGGTTAAGGTTCTGCAGAGGATTGATTTTAACCCAATTTTAATTAGTACTGAATTTACTTTGTGCTATCCCTTAATGTCCAATTTGAAAAGCAGATCCAGTCAAATGGGAAAAAATAATACAAGGGCTTATTTTCCAAAGCAGCTCCTTGGTGGAAGCTGCTTCCATCTAATAAAAATAGCCCAGTAATGATAGTAATAGGGAGACTACCTAATATATAGTAATAAATAGTTCAATGTATTGCTCAGGAAAGCTTTCCCACAGATGCCATGGAGAAAACTCCCTCTTTCCATTCTCAAGTCCATAAAATTACTTTTTTCCTCCTCAGCAAGGTCCTCACAGACACAATTAAAGAGGAACTCTGTGAGCAGCTCTGCCTGCCAGCAGTGGTGATGGGGAGAGCAGGGGGTGGCTTGCAGGGCTCCAAGGCTGATTTTCGATCCTCAGCAGTGCTGTTATTTCCAAAACACTTGTGTCAAAGAGAAAAACACAGAAGAGATTTTAAAAACATTGGGGTAAAAGTGTTTGCAGCACATGGGCCCCTGTTGAAACATCTCTGGCAATTCTGTCTGCTGGTTTCCTGTTGCAGTGACTTACTGCTTCCCCCTGATAATGAAGCAGAAACTAGACTCTTACCAGACAGGAAAAGAACCTAGAAGACACCTCTGAAGTGTCCTGAAACTGGTAAAAATCCCAGCCTTGCTCTCCTGTGCTCACAGAAACGTCCAGCACACCTTAGGAGAGGGAAAGGCTCTGAGCCAGGTGTGTATTTGTTACGCATTTACGCGTGCTTGGCATATGCTGCTGCACAGCATTATTTACTATGAATTGTAACAGGAAGGAGATAAATCCACTTACCTTCAACATAAAAAGCAGCAACACACAAGGTGTGGCAGCCTGAAGCTTCCTCAGGAAGCTGCTACCCAGGAACTGAGCCACTACAGCAGCCTGAACCCCGCAAACAGCACAGTTGCAGCCCGCGGCGTCAGGACTTTGCCGCGTCCAAGAACAGGCTCACCCCTGCAGTTACCTCCTGCTGACCAGAGCACCGTTATCCCTCCTTTCCTCTCTTCCCTGCTTTACATAGCGGCTCCCCCCTCCTCTGAGCTACATCTGGAGTTACTACCCTTCTGCTGAGAATGGGTTACACTAAGCTGCACCTGTGGTTGGCATCTAGACCAACTTGATGAAGCCAACACAGAGCTCCACCCAGAGCTCAGATTGTCACCTATCCTAGGGAACACGCAAGACGTTCTGTAACACTAGATGAGTACTGTTTGTAGGAGAGAAATCTACCCACTGCCCTTGCTGTACTCTTCCCTTTCCTCAATTAAACTTTCCTTCATCTGATCAGTCCACTGCACCCACTCCCCTACCAGGATCTTAACCCCAGGCTCCACGTGCTGCCCGGTCCCATGTCCTACCCGAGAGCAGCTCCACTGGACAGTAGGAAGCTGCCATCCTCAGCTGACCGTGGCCGTGAGGCTCAGAGGAGCTGCCTGCAGCTAATGCAGGCGGGTGTTCAGGGTCAGCCTTGCTGTATGCTGCTTGGGCACAGGACAGGTAGTCTTGGGATTCCAGTATCACTGATTATTCTCAGCTCCGCTCTCTCGCTCCCTGGGCAAGTATTTTTATCAGTACTTCTGGGTATGTAACATTTCAACATTTGCCCAGTAC